GGGGTGGGGTGGGGGGGCGGGGAGAGGGGTGCAACAATGAATGAATGGAATTCCAAAATCTCTGTAGATGTTCATTGAAATGAAAAATAAAGAAATTTTTTTAAAAAGATCAAGCATTAGCTAATCTTTACACAATGGATGGAGCCCCACCTTCCTCTTTTTCCAAAATAAAACTATTAGAAATAATAAATTTCCATTAGACTTATGTTATTGTTCTTGAGTACCATTGAGTCAGAACCAACCCATAGCTGACCCTCCAGCAGGTTTTCAGAGGCAGCTGGTCATACCGGAGGAGAATGCCCAACCTTCTCCTGCGGAGCAGCTGGTGGATTTGAACCGCACACCTTCAGGACTGCAGCACAGCTTCTTACCACGAGGCTACCAGAGCTCCCTTTCAGCCCTGCTGCTAGTAATTTGATCCTTGACATGCCCAAGGCCAGCCGCAGACTTCCTGAGATTCAGGTGAGATGGCAGAGTGTAAAGCATCTGTAAATCATCAGGTTAAACAAAAGGGGGGCATTTCTGCTCCCCAGAGGAAGACCGGCTCCTCCCTTAGCATGTACAGCTGCAGAGACCTAACTGAGGGGCTGCTGTAGGTCAGAGCTGACTCCAAGGAAGGGGGTTTGGGTTTGTTAAAGAGCTTGTTGGCACAGTGGTTTAAGCATCAGCTGTTAACCAAAAAGTCATTGTGTGTAAACCCGCCAGCCTCCCCCCAGGAGCAAGATGAGACATCCACATGCCGGAAGATGGGTCTCAGAAATCCTACAGGGCCCTTCCCTCTGCCCTGTGTGGTCACCGTGAGCCGAAATGGATGTGACAACAGTGTGTGGGGTTGTTGAGGTGCCCTGGCAGTGTGGCGAGGAACATGCTTGGTTGCTGTCCCTAAGGTTGGCGGTTCAAATCCACTAAAGGCTCTGCAGAAGGATGTGGCAGTCTGTCCATCTGATGTACCTGGAAGTACGTGAGGCAGTTCTGTTCTCTGGGTTGTTAGGTGTTGGGCTTGTTTCTAGCTAAATAAGATAAATTTATATTGCTACAGAGCAATTCCCGCAGCCTACTGCACTTTGAAGCAAGTTTTTTATGGTTAATATTTGTTTTCCTGCATAAGAACACCTTAAAGATGTCTGGAGTTGCTTTCATTAACACGACATTAGCATGAGGTCTAGGGGAGGAGACGGGCCTCTTCCAGGCGAGTGGTGAGTCTGTGTGAGGGAGAGAGCTGGGCAGACCAGCCCCGTGAGGCTGCGTCTTCAAGGAGCACATGGGACCTCCACAGCTGGGAGAGACAGGGACAGGAGAGCAGCCCTGTCACACCCTGAGTGCCCACTCCGAGGCCCTGTTGCTGTAGCTGTTGTTGGGTGCCTCCGAATAGGACTCATAGTGACCCTGTGAACAATAGGCCCGAGCCCTGTCCTATCCTGTGCCATCTTCACAATCTCCGATACACTTGACTCCATTACTGCACCTCATTGTCAGTATATTTGGAGGCCAGCTACCCGCTCGACTGACTGGAAGGGATCCATGTATGTTCCCATTCCCAAGAAAGGTGATCCAATAAAATGTGGGAATTATCAAAGGCTGAAGCACTTGCTGCAGAGGGTCAAGGACTACAGCCTCCAATATGGATTGAGACTCAATATCAAGAAGACAAAGATTCTCACCACTGGACCAATTGACACCATCAGGATGGATGGCGAAGAGATTGAGATTGTTCACAGCTTTAGTTTGCTCAGCTCCACAGTCAACACTATTGGCACCAGCAGCCAGGAAATTAAAAGGCGCATTGCCATGGGAAAGTCTGCTGTTAGGGACCTCTCCAAAGTACTGAAGAGCAATGGTGTCTCTCTGGAGACTAAGGTGCGTCTGATACAGGTCATGGTCTTTGCTATCACTTGTTATGCATCAGAGAGTTGGACAATGACTAAGAAGGATAGAAGGAGAATTGATGCCTTTGAGCTGTGGTGCTGGAGAAGAGTATTGAGAGTACCATGGACTGCCAAGAAAACAAACAGATTCATCCTGGAAAGGGTTAAACCAGGCGGCTCCCTGGAGGCAAGGATTCTGAGGCTCCATCTAACATACTTTGGACTTGTTGAAAGCAGCCACTGGTCCTTGGAGAGGGGCATCATGCTTGGGAGGGTGGAAGGACAGCGCAGGAGGGGAAGACCCTCTATGAGGTGGATAGATTCAGTGACTGGGGTTATCAGGATGGGAGTGTCAGAGACAGTGCGACTGGCACAGGACAGAGTAGGGTTTAGGGCTGTTGTACATAGGGCCGCTATGAGTCGCAAGCGACTCGACGGCACATAACAACAACAAACATTAAAATTACATGCAAACACAATCCTACTAAAGATCACCCCAAACCCTCTAAAACTATTCATTGACAGGGAACTGCCAAAAGTTTGAGCTGGATTTAGAAGAGGCCGTAGAATCAGGGATATCATTGCTGATGTCCGATGGATCCTGGCTGAAAGCAAACACTACCAGAAGAATGCCAATCCTAGCCCCTTGTTGTTAGGTATTGTTGAGGCACTCACGACTCACAGCCACCCTAGAAATAACAGTCCTGAGTCCTGTCCTATCCTCTTCATCCCTGATACACTAGAGCCCATTCCTGTAATCACCATGTCAATCCATTTCCAAGGGGTCTTCTTCTCTTTCAGTGACCCCCCCCCACCCTTCTGAGCACATAATATCCTTTTCAAGGAATAGCCTCTCCTAGCAACATGTCCAAAATATGAAAGACAAAGCTTTGCCATCCTCCCTCCAAAGAGCACGCCGGCTGCACCTTCTCCAAGTCATATCTGTTCATTCTTTTGGCCGTCCGTGGGATGTTCAGTGCTCTTCTCCAACACCACAGCTCAAAGGCATCAATTCTTCTTCTGTCATCCTTGTTTATTTGTCCAACTCTCAAATAAATGTATAGCAAGTGACTGAAAGGATCATGCCCTGAATCAGACACACCTTAGTCCTCAAATTAACATCACTGATGAGAAATGTCTCCTCCTGGTCAGCAGTCTCTCTGGTGGTCAACACAGGGGCCTCGGGAACAATGTGTCTTCCCTGGTGGTCTGTTAGAGACAGAGGCTCCCTGCTTGGCCCAAACACCGGGTGTGAGCTCCAAGAAGGAAGGGAGTGGTGTGTGTGTGTGTGTGTGTGTGTGTGTGTGTGTGTGTGTGACATCAGTGTGTGGGTGTGCACCTGAGTGTGAGTGTGTATCTGTCAGTGTTTGTCTTTGTGTCTTTCTGCTCCTCTGTGTGTATGTGTGTGTGTGTGTGTGTGTGTGTGTGTGTGTCAGTGGGCATCTGTGTGCATGGATCTGTGTGTGTACAGCATGTGTTTGTGTATCTATATGTGTTTTTACATGACTGTGTGTGTGAATGGGAGAGTACATGCGTCTGTGTGTGCCTGTGTATATCTTTATGTCAGTGTGTGTCTGTATCTGCATGTCTGTGTGTGTTTCTATTTCTGTGTGTACATCTCTGTGTATTTGTGTGTGGCTGTGCGTTTCTCTCTGCATGTCTGCTGGTGCGTGCATGTGTGTGTCAGGGTGTGTGAATTTTGCGTGTCTGTATGTGTCTGTATTTGAGTGTGTGTACAAGTCTATGCCTGTGTTTGTACACACACATTATCATGTTCCAGAATCCAGGACAGGACCTGGTACCTATAACTGCTGAGTCCCCAGGTGGCACAAACAATGAAACACACACTAATGTCAGGGTTGGCAGTTCATGTTTAGCCAGCAATGCCTCAGAACCTGGCCATGTTCTTCAGCCCCTGAAAGCCCCACGGAGCACACACACACCTGTGGGGCCACACTACAATAACTGGGGGAGAAGCCACTGCTCCACCTCAGACCAGGAGGCTGACTTCACCCAGGTGGGACCTCACAGGGAGAGGGGCTTCATGGCCAGGACCTTGTCTCCTCCATCGCCAGCCCCACCCCCGCAGGCTTTCTGGAATGTATCATTTTCTTGTGTATAGGAAGGCTGTATAGTGGAGTGTACTGGGGGGTGGGGGCAGGGGATTGTACACCAGTGAAAGAATTTTTCTTGTACTTTTCAAAGAGAGGAGCTAACTAGGGGGTGGGGAAGGGTGGACAGGGAGAAAAGTGCAACAATGAATGAATGAAAATCCAAAATCTCTGTAAACGTGGTAAGTGAAGAACAAAGTTCTTCTTCCCAAGCAGATTGGGGATAGCAATCGCTCTGCACAATCAGTGCCTTCCAGAGCAGCCTTGCCACCCAGGAGAGAAAACAAGAGACTCCAGGCTAATGGCCAAGGCCCAGAGGTCCAGGCCAGCCAGCGCTGTGATCTGGAGCTGATGACGTGTGGTCGGTCACATAACCTCCGACTATGAACATCTCCCTCAAGAGGTTGGGCAGAGAGTAGAGCCCACCACCCACCACTGGGGCTGAGGTCTCCAGGCAAAATGATCTTCATGCCCTCCTCTCGTTACACCTTAGCACCTCTTCCCCCTCCTGAAGCCATGAACTTGTAACTGTCAAGGCCATTGTTGTTCCACACTGCCAGGTCGACTCTGACTCATAGTGACCTTGTGTATAGGAAGGCTGTATAGTGGAGTGTACTGGGGGGTGGGGGTGGGGGCAGGGGATTGTACACCAGTGAAATAATTTTTCTTTTACTTTTCAAAGAGAGGAGAGAACTGGGCGGTGGGGAGGGGAGGACAGGGAGAAAAGTGCAACAATGAATGAATGGAAATCCAAAATCTCTGTAAACGTTCATTAAAATTAATAAATGAAAAAGAAAAGAAACAGATGAAGGAGAGAACTATTTAACAGGGTTCTATGATTAGGTATTATTCTCATGACAAGAGTCCAGAATGAAGGGTGCACAGTGGAGTGGACTTGGAGGGAGGGATAGCATAACAATGAAAGTTTTTCTTTTACTTTTCAAGGAGAAGAGTGAATTGGGGGAGGGGGGAAGGGTGTGGGCAGGGAGAAAAGTGCAACAATGAATCACTGGGAACCCTAAGTCTCTGTAAACTTTCATTAAGATGAATAATAAAAATAAGAAAAAAAAAACCAACAAAAAACAGTGCTGGCCACTGCCCACCCGGACAGTCCCGGCTGCTTGAGCTCATTGCTACATTGTATCAGTCCACTGCTCTGCAGGACTTTCTCTCCTTCAGTTTTCCCAGCATGATGTCTTTTTCCAAGGACTGGCCCTGAGAACAACATGCCCAAGATACGTGAGACAAAGGTTACAGCCCCCTCACCATCAAGGAGCTGCCTGGCTACATCTCCTCCAAGACATACTTGTTTGTTCTCTGGGCAAGTTAGTTCAGGGAATACTCCGTACTTTCCGTCAACTTCACAGTATAAAGCTATCAGTTCTCCTATCTTACCCTTTGCCCACCTTTCATAGGCATCTGAAGCGATTGAAACTACCATGGCTTGGGTCAGGCGTCCCGTGTTGTTGCTAGGTGCCATTGGGTCTGACTCAGAGTGACCCTGTGAACAACAGTCTCACCCCTGGCCTATCCCGTGCCATCCTCATCATCTCTGACACACGTGGGCCCACTGCAGCAGTCACTGTGTTAATGTTTCCCACTGAGGGTCTACCTCCCTTTTGCAGATCCTCCACCTTCCCAAATATAATATCCTTTTCCAAGGACATCTTTGCCTGATTTTGTAAAAAGTTCGTGAAGCCGGAATCCTCCCACAGCTTGCCCCTGGAGGGCCCGGAGCATGCGCACTGCCGGAAGGGACCGAAGGAAGCCGTGGCTGGACCGGGCGGTCCCGGCTCCTCCCTTCGGCTCGTTGGCGGGCGGGCTAGTCCTGGAAAAGCGGCAGGCGCGGCGCCCGAGCGAGGGGCCGAGCTTAGAGAAGAAGGAGGCGCGGCACCCGAACGAGGGGCCGAGCCGGGAGAAGCAGGAGGCGCGGCGCCCGAGCGAGGGGCCGAGCCCGGAGAAGAAGGAGGCGCGGCACCCGAGCGAGGGGCCGAGCCCGGAGAAGCAGGAGGCGCGGCGCCCGAGCGAGGGGCCGAGCCTGGAGAAGAAGGAGGCGCGGCACCCGAGCGAGGGGCCGAGCGGGGAGAAGCAGCAGGCGCTGTGCCCGTGGGAGGGCCGAGCCAGGAGAAGCAGCAGGCGCGGCACTGATCGGCCTGGCGCTGGCCGGGGGACCCCGCGCGCTGTCCTACTGGCGGGTGGCGTGGGCAGCGGGGGAATCCAGATGGACGGCAGCGCGGTAACCTGCAGCGCCGAGGCGCGGCTGCTGGTGGGCCGGGAGGCTGTGCGCCCCGTGCCCGCCCTGCTGGCCCCTGCGGTGCTGGTGGGCACCACGCTGGGCCTCTGCTGTGGCCTCTGGCTCGGCTGCCGCCTCCGCCGCCCGCGGCCCCGGCTCCAGGTGAGTTCGCAGGGCGCACGGGGACCCGGGTTCCAGGCGCGCTCGCCTC